TGGAATCACCAGAATGGAATAACTGTACTGGCAATAGTAGTAGTGGAATCACCAGAGTGGAATAACTGTACTGGCAATAGTAGTAGTGGAATCACCAGAGTGGAATAACTGTACTGGCAATAATAGTAGTGGAATAACTGTACTGGCAATGGTAGTAGTGGAATCACCAGAGTGGAATAACTGTACTGGCAATAATAGTAGCGGAATCACCAGAGTGGAATAACTGTCACAGTACATGAGGAAATATAGACCAGTCAATGTTTTTATCTCTATTTTAGACCAATCAAGAGCTAATATTCTTAAGGACTTTTTATTTATCCAATTATGGTATACCAATATTAAAAATTTTTATTATTTTGTGCAAGAGGAACACAGCCTGGCCAATCCACTAAACTTTACATCTTTGTGGCCACACAACACTATTGAAAGGTAAGATTTTTTTGGCAGTAAAGTTGTGGTTAGCAAGTTCTACCTCGAATACTGAGAGCCATGATACCTAAATATAGCCCACCAAATCCCTCGAATTCGGTTTCATCAGCAGGCAGACTGGGTGTTAAAGGTGGAAGAGCTCATAAATCCAAAATATGCCCCCCCCCTCAAAAAAAAAAGAATCCTTAGCTTACAGTATGATTTCAATCTTTCTAATCAGCTTGTGTTTAAGCTATACTGTTGAGACCAGTGTTTCTCAACTACTGGTCCATCACAACCACCTTGACTGGTGTTTCCCAACAACTGGTCTGTCACAACCACCTTGCTGGTTCGTGGAGTTTCATGAAAAACAAAAACTTACAGAATATTCCTATGTAAATTATAATGGTTTTTCTTGTACTTGCATTTTAGTGGTCGATAACACTTTAGGGAGGCAGTGAGCTGATCTACACCCATTGATAATGACAACTTCCTACTTAAGCTTGTGAACACTATGTTCCATTGATAACAAAGGTTTAAATATTTTTCTAGTTTTAATAACGTATTTCGTATAAGGTAACTAGGACTATTTTATGAAAAGACACTATCCACACGTACGGTTATACGAGGCGTTGCGTGTGTGTTTTGCTGTCACCATTCTCCTACATATTATACAAATGTGCAAAACACTGTGTTTGAAGTAATCTTGATTTTACGTATTGTTTGATATATAATTTTAACTGGTGGGATAGCAATAAGTTCCAGACTTACAACACTAAAATCCTGGGTTTGATTCCCTGCAGTGGGCACAACAGTTAGCCAGATGTAGCTTTGTTCTAAAAAACAAAAGAAATTAATTCTTTAAGCAGTAAAGTATTAACAGCATGAGGATTTAGACTTGTGAACAATCCTGTGCTTGTATCTACTCAATATAAACTGAATTTATTTAAATCCTAACATAGGTGCATCATTTCTGTTGTTGTGCGATAGGAAGTCGAGACCGATCACTGTCTGTATGGGTGAGTTGTTTCTTAATTGGTCTTTACTTACTTACCGAACTAGATTATTTTAGAACCTTTGTTTTAAAAAAAAAGCTCAACGTTATGTCAAGTACTAGGGGTGTAAAAAAAAACAAAGTTCAAAAAATAAAATGTATTTCACTTTAATTGCACAATTTATGATGACATTGTAAGTTTGATTTAGTTTTGAAGTATCTTATAAGTTAACGTTGTGTTTCAAATTTGATGGACTTCTTTAACTTAACCCATTACAAACACGTTGCTTATAAAGTTGTAGATCAAAATAGTGTAATTTACGACTAATATATATATATGTGTATCAGTCACTAGGAAACTCGTATTTTTCAAACCGATGAAGAACATTTCATGTTAATTATTAGAAATACTATTGTTCTCAAAAAATCATGGAGTTGTCATTTCTTGTCTTTATTAAAGATTAAACTTTACCTTGTTTATAATTTGATAGCCATCTCACCTTTTTTATTTATAATTTTTCAATTCATTAAATAAAAACTACTTTTAATTTTTTTCTGAATCAAATTTCATAAGTATATGAATTTTTCAGTGGTACTGTTTCACAGTTATGTCAAGATAATAACACTTTAGAAGCAGTATTTAACAGGAATAATTAATACTTTTGGCAAAGAAATATAAATTTATTGAAAATAAGGTTTTGCTAATATCTGTATGATTTTTTTGAATCAAGTTTTTCTTTGAAAAATTTGTCTCATCATTTTGTGATATGCATTGTTAATAAGTGCGCAGTTTATAGATTGTTTTAGACTTTTAAAATCATTTCTGGTATCAGAATATAATATAAAATTATAGTATAAAAATAACATTTCATAAACCAAGTCAGAAAGACCTTTTGTGTTGTTAAATAGTTTTTTCTTGGTGTTTATAAACCTGTATCTTTTACAAACATATTCACTATTCTCAAAAACCCTATCTTACAGAATATAATATTTCCTTATGATGTTTATAATAGGGGTGATAAAAGAATTTGGTCAAATTAAACTTTACCTGAAAGATAATTCAAGGCATTAAGCCACGCCCCCCTCCAGAGGTATGTCGGCCAACTTATTGTTTGTTTAAAGTTAAGCACAATACTACACAAGGAGCTATCTTGAAACTCGGTTTCTAACATTGTCAAAACAAAGAGTTTTTCATGTTTTCTTTCATTACCGGATGTCGTCCAGTATGCCAGTGATTTTTTTGTGTCATCATAAAACACAATACTCTTATTTGTTACTTATTGTCATTACTTTATTTACTTTCAGCTGACCTCGCTGAAAAGACCTTTGGTTGTTATTCATTCGTTGTTTTCTAATTCAGTCTTAGATGTGTCTTGGTAAGTCCATTTTTAAATACCTGATTGTTTGCTTCTGATGACCAGTCTTTTTTTTGTTTGTCATTTTTAACTTGTTTTTCAACTCGCAGTAAAGTGTGAATTATAATTAAATTTAATTTGTTGAATCTCTGTAAAGATGACTGTGTAATAGAACTAGAAAAGGTTTTATTTTATAGATGGAGTGTAAATCTTATTGTTGTTTTATAATATGGAAATAACAGGAGCCGAATCGGTCACCAGTTACTTGTCTGTTCCTGGGATGGAACCGTTGCGTATGTGGAGTTCTCCGAGGAAGAAATAGGAAAGCCAATATCTGAAGATGAAAAGGTACATCAAATCTATATTCATTTTCATATATATATGTTTTCTGTCTCAAATTTCCCAATATATTGGAATATAATATTAATTTAAATATGTATATATGTACTGTTATATGATCTTTAAAAAGGTCACCAAAAACTTTCCTTTGTCAATGAAAGATTTCCAGAAATTTGTAAAAGAAATGCCTGAGAAATGTACCAGACAGTTGAATTGTGATAGAAATTAATTACTGCAAAGTCCCACACAATAGCTGTTATGAAAACACCAGGTTACAAAGGAGTTTATGCATAACTTGATAATTCTGTAATATGTTAAATTTTTTTTTTCTATGATAAATTTTTAAATAAATTGTTTCACCTAAGCCTAACAGTTGATCTTCATAATTTGTACTGGGATTGTTGTTGGTTTAGTTTCTGATAACTTGTAGTGTAAAGAGGAAAAAATTGAAGAATGACTTTATGTAAGATTTTTACTGTTTTCCAACTTAAAACTTGGCTGTATACAAGATTTTTAGTGTTTTCTGGCTTTCAAACTGGCTGTTTATAAGATTTCCCCACTATGCTCAAAACTGATGTATATCATGACACAATATTCCAAGTGTTTACGATAATTTAGTTGTTAAACAATGATTTAAGATACTAGATCTTTAGAACTTAGCATTAAAAATACATTTTCACATATTAAGTCTTAATTTATTTAAACCTGGAAATTTATGTATTTGATTAGTCCAATAGTTTACTTGAAAATGTATTATATTTACAGCAGCAAAGCAGGATAGGAATCTTGTTAGGGTGGGAGTGTAATGAATATCATGATAAAGGTAGTTAAAATTTAAAAACAAGATTGTATAAGAAAAAACTTGTGTCACGCAAAAAAAAGTATGATATGGGAATCCTGTATAAAAAAAAAAAAAGTTTAGAAATGCTCTCTCTCATGTTACAAATGTCAACTATTTTTTCATAAAATATCCAACACACACAAACGCTTGAATTATACGGAACCACTAATCACTGACCCACGTGATACTTACACTTTTCTATCATTTTAATTTCACTGACCCACGTGATACTTACACTTTTCTATCATTTTAATTTCACTGACCCACGTGATACTTACACTTTTCCATCATATTAATTTTTTCTATTTTTTAGTTACTTTAGGCCTAACAGTTTTCAAATATAAAAATACGCATTTTCTTTGCATTTCTCAAGGCCTACTTCTCCTTTGTTTTTGTTTTTTTGTCTGCTTTTCCTGTGAAAAAATGACATTAGTAAATAAAGATAACTATGTAATTTTCATATGATATATTTTATGTTATTATTTGTTTTGTATTCAATTTAAGGTGTATTTTGAATCTTTTTGGCCTTGAATAGATCTTTACCTTTGTCTTATCTTGCTCAGTTTATTATTTTTTTAAGCTAATATGTAATGATAAAAAAGTTGTTTACTTACAAATGTGACATATCGTGTTGGTGGTAGTCGTAAAATAGACAAGTTAAGAATAACTCTTTGGTATCCAGTTCTTACTATTTTATGTTTAACGATCGCCCTAAGAGAATTAGTTTATTGTTCTTAGCTTTATTTAACGCAAACTGTAGTTTATTACGATACATTTTTATTAAAGTAAATATAATACCGACCTATATCTTCAGAACGTAACTATTAGCTCGATATTCTTAACTTTGTTGAATACAAAATGGAAGGTTGGCCTTTAGTGTAGAGACATTATTATCATTCTTAAGATTTTAATATCTTGAACTTTGACAAAGTTTCTATACAAATTCATAAGGGTTGAAAGATATTTTCAGACATTGTTTTGTGTATGTATTGATATAATAAAGTGAAATAATACTTATAAATAAAAATATGAAGATATATTTTATAGGTTATGTATCCTACGATTTTGAATTTACAGTGCTAAAATCAGGCGTTTGATTCCCCTCGTTGGACACAGCAGATAGCCCGGTGTGGCTTTGCTATAAGAAAACACACACCTATGATTTTAATAGTTCACCTGTTGGTTTACATATTTATTTAGTATTGTTGGTTTGATTTGTTTCAACAATATAAATTCAAGAATGTTTGATATTATCTTAATATGATCTGAATTTTCTGATCATGTGTATCGACGTTTGATTTACTGTTAACGATGTTCCAAATTAGATTGAACTGGTAAGATATCGATAGCTCCTGACAAAGCTGTAATACTGAAATATTAAGTTCATAAAGTTACATTCTGTAGATATTGGTCGTTATTTTATTTACGTTTATAAGGATTAGTTTATGATTCATATATTTGTTGTGAAGTGTTTAACCTGTGAAACTCACAGTTGTCATGATTTTGTACAACAGAATCAACTTCACCAGAGACTGTATGGGAAAAGTTTAGCAATGACCAATCAACTAACTACGTCATCGGCCACAGTCATAGAAAACCCTGAACTCCTGAAGATGAGAGAAGAGCAGACACTTAAAACTGAAAAACCCAAAAATGAAGTAATTACAAATGGTGTGATGACAAATCAACTGCTAGATAGCAACAGTGGTTCAAAACATCAAGACCAACAAAGCAATCTTAGTAGATCTAGCTATGCTAGGGTAAGTTGGTTTAAACTTTTGTCTTTTAGGCTTTGTTTTGTATGCGATTTACCCTTTCGCAATGGGTGGGTCTAAACTGCGAATGTCACGGTCTTTTAGGCTTTGTTTTGTATGCAATTAACCCTTTCGCAACGGGTGGGTCTAAACTGCGCATGTCACGGTTTGTTAGGCTTTGTTTTGTATGCGATTAACCCTTTCGCAACGGGTGGGTCTAAACTGCGCATGTCACGGTCTTTTAGCGATTTATTTTAAAAGTTTAATATGTAACTTTTTATTACCATATATCAATAAGATTGGTATCAAAACGTAGTTTATATTTCAAATATTAATCTTATGTATGTTTTAATTTCTTAACGTAGAAGGAAATGTATATTACAAAAAACCTAAATATAGATTTGTGTGTGTCACATCACACCTCCTCATGTCTTGTTGCTCTTGTTTATTTTTTCTATGCCTCCTTTATACATCTGCAGTTGATTAACGAATTAGAAGCTAGAATATATATACTTAGAACTTTCCACCACTTTGATTTGCTGAGAAATCAATGTATCTAGCAAATCAACTAGAGTGGCCACTCCTCCTATATGTTTAGTTCCACCTACTTTTCTTAAAGGTGTTTTTATAACCAATAGAAAGGACAAGTTGTGCTTTACGTGATTCTGACAACTGTTTGTAAAGAGCTTGGAAGAAAAAATAATAATTTCATCAAGACTGTTGAATGGTGATGACCAACTTGTTCCCCCGTTGAAAATTACATAGAAAATAATGATTTCTAATACTCACGCAAAGTTACGGTGATAGGAAAATATTGTGCCTCTGTATGCCTTTATTGCTAAGCCTTGTTATTTTTTCAAGTGGAGGATGAAGGAATATAATTTTTGTAGGCTTATAATATGCATTTTAGAAATAAATAAAAAATATTCAATTACTCTACTAGTATACCCAAAACATCTGTAACTTGCTTAAGTTTATAAATATGCATGTGTTAAAAAAAATTAATATCTATTTTTATTGTTCTATGTTTTAAGAAAGCTTAGCTAAAATTTAAACACTTATGAGTAAATGTATATGTAATGTATGGTAGCCGAAATATCAGTGTAGTTTGCAAAATATTGGTATTATAGTTAGATTTGTACTTTGTAGGGCTATGCAGTTAGGGCTACTGAGTTTGTGTTATTTGTACGGCTATGTAGTTAGGCCTACTGAGCTTGTGTTATTTGTACGGCTATCGTAGTTAGGCCTACTGAGCTTGCGTTATTTGTATGGCTATGTAGTAAG